TATATATTTTTTTTTTTTTTAAACTTGGGGACACTATAAACAGAGAATTTCTACAAGTTAGATGAAAAAGACTACTTGACCAAACAGAAGAATGGACAAATGACTTAAACAGGCACTTCCTAACAAAGGTAATGCAAAAGATCACTGTAAGGGCCCCGGTAGACAGCTCAGTGGACTAAAGCGCCTGATTAGGCAGAACGCAGTAGTTGGGGTTCAATTCCCAGCGTGCCATGCTGGCCCCACCCCCAGGGCACACTGAGCCAGGGACTGAGACTGGGTGTGGTAGTGCACCTGTAATCCCAGTGCTTGGGAGGCTGATCACAAGAGAATCACTATGAGACCAATCTATGTAGTAAGACCCTGTAGACCCTGTACTAATTAAAAAAAAAAAAGACATCACTGACCATGTACTCAACCTTACTAGCAATGACATAGGAAGCTATCAAATGAAAACCATAAGGAACTACCTTTATGCCTAAGTCTAACAGTGCCATGAGCTGATGAGGATTTGGAGCAATGAAGAACTCTCATATTTCTGGTAGGAACATAAATGTGTATGATCACTCTGGAAAAGAGATCAGCATTAGAGAAACAGGTGCAAGTACACATACCCTAAGGCCCAGCAATCCTACTCCTAGGAACACATTCCTGGGAAAATGTTCAACATACTGACCTGGATACTGAACAAAAAATGTTTGTAGGGTCACTGCTCCCCTCACCCCAAAGCAAGACCAAGCCAAGTGTCCATCTACAGGAGAATCAAAAAAAATGACTACAGTCAGATAATGACACACTGCACTGCGCTGAAAAAGTGCAGGGAGCACATTTTCGAGCCTGCTTAATTCTCTGCTTTCCAGAATTACAATTCTCATTAGCTCCAGATGCCATTTTGTCTTAAAAATAAAAACAAAAATAAAATACGGAAGCATGATAGCACATGCTTGTAATCCTGGCTACTTGGAGAGGCTGAGGCTGGAGGATCACTAGGCAACTTATTGAGATCCTGTCTCCAAAAAGAATGTGCCTGGGATCATCCCTAATACAGCAAAATAAAAGTAAAGAAAAAGACCCCAGGGTACAGCAAAAAAACAGAAACAAAACAAAAAACCCCAAAAAACATAGGCCTGTAATATGGCTCAGCAGCATAAGCACCTGCACAAGGTCTAAGTTCAATCCTCAGTACCACAAAAAAAAAAACAAACAAAAACTTGGAAGTAACTAGTTTACTGGGGAGGTGGAGGCAGGAAGAGGGCTTAGCCCAAGAGTTCAGGGCCAGTCTGGGCAAAATAAGGAAAGGAAGGGAAGTGGAAAGGAAGAAAATAAATAAATAGCTTAAAAGATAACATGAATTTTTATAAACATAATGCTGGGCCAGGAACATAGTTCAGTGGCACAAAATGCCTGCCTGGCAAGTGCCCAAGTTCAATTTCTGATACCAAGAAAAGACAACAAAAAACAAACATGATAATGCTAGGCCAAAAATATATATGCTGCTTATATAAAGTTAAAAATGTTTTCAGGAGGACTGTAGTGTGTTGGAGGAAGCCTGGGCTAGATAGTGAACTCAAGGCCAACCTGAACTATACAGCAAGACCCCATCTCAGGGTTGGGGAGATAGCTCAGTAGAATAAGTTCTTGCCTGGCAAGCGCAGGGTCCTGAGTTCAATCCCCAGTAACACCAAAAAGAAAAGGAAAAAAAAAAAAAAAAAAAGAAAGACCTTGTCTCAAGAAAAACAAGTTTAAAATGTCTATTAAGTGACCGGAGAAGAGGTAAGAAAAGCAGAGACAGTAACTACCTCTAAAAGGAAGGGAAAAGCCTGTCCGAAAGAGTGACACAGAGGTGTATGGACAGTTGGCAATTTGTTGTTGTTGTTGTTGTTTTTGGAAGCAAGGTTTCACTATGTAGCCCAGGCCAGCCCTACACTCGCTTATGTAACCCAGGCTGTCCCCAAACTCAGCCCTCCAAGTACTGAGATCACAGATGTGAGACCTTGCCTCAAAAATGGTCTGTACTAGCAGAGGTGCAGCTCAGAAGTAAAGCACTGGCCTAGCACATGTGAGGCTGTGGGCTCAGGGAACACTGCTGCGTTCCAAAACGCTACACTGACAAACGCCAGGAAGGAAACAGGGCTGGGCTGTCACTTTTCGAGCCCTGGGAAAGCAGAATGGACTAAGTGAAGGCAACAAGGGGACAACATAAAGAGGCCTCAAATGGAACAATAACAGAGGACACCCTCAAGTATTTTCAAAACAAATCTGGAGAAATAAATCTCTATTATTAAGAGGTCATCAAAAAGAGAGAGACAGAGACAGGGAAAGAGGGAACAATACCTTTTTGTTGTCTGGATTTTCTTCCACACTTACCTCCTTGCTGTCTGTCACAGGAACCCACTTAAATATCCTAAGGGATGTGTCACCCACAGTCACCCATTTTTTTTCCCTAAAAGAAAGGCAATTCTTAGAATATAACCAAAATAAATTTCATGTTCATTAATTTGTGTTCTTCTATTTCTCAGCAGATCATTCCTTCAATTCCAGTGTTGTAAGATTATACCTGAAGTGTTGCTGGGAACAGCAAATAATCAAATTGTGAACCAGGCGTGGTGGTGCATGCCTGCAATCTCAGCACTCGGGAGGTAAACACAGAATGACTTGAGCTCTAGACCAGCCTGAGAGCTACAAAAGTGAGCACAGGGCCAACCTGAACTTCGTAGTGAGATCCTGTCTCAGAAAAAAAGGGTTCAGGTCCCTCATGGATGGGTTATTTATTATTTACTGTCTTTTTGAGACAGGGTCTTGCTATGCAGTTCAGGTTGGCCTTGAGCTCACCATGTAGCCCAGGCTGGTCTCGAACTGTTTTAGCCTCTTGACTGCTGGGATTATATGCATGCGCCACTATGCCCAGCATTCCTCCTGGGTAATTTAGAGAGACCTTGTTTTAGAATAAAAATAAAAGTGGTAGAATACTCCTAGTTTGAGCCCCAGTATCACACACACAAAATATCTCACAATTTGATAAAGAAAAGCACACAAGGGCTGGTGAGATGGCTCAGTGGTCTAAAGCACCTACTTAGAACAAGCTTAGCAAAGCACAGGAACCGCGGTTCAATCCCCCAGCACCACATGCCAGCCAGCCCCGCCCCCTGGTGGGCTGAGCTGGCCACACACACACATACACACACACAAATAAATAAATAAAAATAAAATAAAATAACCTTAAAAAAAAAAAAAGAAAGAAAAGCACACAAAGTAACTCAAGTGAAAAAGAACGTTTGAACTGAGCTTGGTGGCACACTACTGTAGTTCCAGTTTCTTGGGAGGCTGAGGATCACTTAGGCCCCCGCCTGGGCATTCAGAAAGACTGTCTTAAAATGGAATGACAAAGGCTGTGGAGCTAGCTCAGTGTTAGAGCACCTGCCTCGCCTGGAGTTCACTTCCCAGCACTGCAGAAAAAAAATAAATAAATGTATTGTTTAACCCCATCTCCAAAATAACCTCAAACTGCCTTCCAGCTTTAGCAGCCACAATTTTATTTATTTATTATTATTATCATTATTATTATTATTTTTGTAGACAAGGTCTTGCTATGCAGTTAGGGCTGGCCTGTGCTCACTTTTTGAACTTTCAAGTTGCCCAAAGTGCTGGGATTATATGGGAGTGCCACTGTGCCCAGTGTGAGTTCCACACTTCTAAAAGTATACTGCACAGTCCGTAAAGCCCACCTACAATCCCAGCACTCGGGAGATGAGGCAGGAGGATTGCCACAAGTTTGAGGCCAGCACAGGCTACATAGGAAGACCTTGTCTCAAAATAAACAAACCAGAAATGTAAGTAAATAAGAGTATACAGCATGAAGGAGTTCTGACTCTTACTCAGCATCTTCTCTTTAGGGAAGCTGCGGGACGAGCTCCATGAGCTCCAGGCCAGCCTGAACTACATAGTGAGAGCCTTTCTCAAAACAACAAAAACAAATTACAAAATAAAAATTCATTTGAGGCAGGTTCTTGCTAAACTGCCCCAGCTGGCACTATACACCACTTTTGATTCTCTTGCTTCAGCTGCCCAAGTAGCTATGATGAACATATTAACAAGGGGGCTATAATTTATGTCTTGCAGCTAGGAAGCTTGCATGTGCATAACTTGTTTCATTAGGCTGCTTTTTATTAATTTCATAAGTAAAAAGACTGACAGAAGTGATCAGATCTGTTTGTATCACCAGTAGTGGTACAAGCAGCCAATGAGACCCTCATACATATACCACTGATGGTTCAAACCAGCAGGAACGTGTTCAGGGTGTGCCCCCACTATACCTGCTAAGATCTTTTTCAATTAAATAAAAATTTACTTAAGCACCTGCCTGGCAAGCACAAGGTCCTGAGTTCGATCCCTGGTACAAACTAAAAAGAAAAAGAAGTCTATGGTTGGGTGTGATGGTGCATGCCTATAATCCTACAATTTGGGAAGCTAAAGGAGGATTGATATGAGTTTGAAGCCACCTTGGACTATACAACAAATTCAAGTCCAGGCTGAATTACATAGCAAGACTGTCACACACACACACACACAAAAGCAAAACAAAGAAATTGATACAGGGCTGGGCACAGGGGCACACACCTGTACTCCAGGTGCTCAGGAGATTGAGACAGGAAGACTGCAAGTTCTAGGCTAGACTGGGTAGTTTAGTAGGACTCTATCTCAAAATAAAAATAAAGTTGGGCATGTTAATCCATCTGTCAGGAGGTTGAGGCAGAAGGATTACTGTAAATTCAAGGCCAGCTTGGGTTACACAGTGAATTTCAGGCTAGCCTGAACAACATAGCTAAATCTTCCCTTAAAAATAAAACAAAATATCCAAATAAAAAAATAAAAGGGATGATAGGCTGGCCAGATAGTTCAGCGGACTAAAGCACCTGTTTAGGCAGAGGGCACCAGCCAGTTGGGGACACTTGAGCTCTGGCATGCTGTGCTGGCACTGCCCCCAGGGCACGCTGAGACCACAAGTGAAACTGGGAGGGCCTGGTGGTGCATGCTTATAATCCCAGCGTTTAGGAGGCTGAAAACAGGAGAATCACTACAAGTCCAATCTATATAGTGAGAGTCTCTAGACCCTGTACCAGATACATTAAAAAAAATAAAAGAGATGGGAATACATAGCTCTGTGGTAGAGTACCCCTGGGTTCAATCCATAATGCTGGGGGGGGGGAGGCAATGATAATGACGATTTTAAGAAATAGTCTTTTAATTTCTCTAAGCCGATCTTAGTGAGTATGCCTCTTCATCTTCCATCTGAAGGATCCTCCAAAGGATTAAACTATCACAAGAAACACGTGCTGCAGGAGGGAAAGTAACAGCCTTGGAAATGCTCGGTTGTTTAAAGCACCGCTTGGGCAAAAGACTACGTATCGAGAAGGAAATTATTTCTGAAGAAATTTTCAAATTCATCACACACACACACACACACACACACACACACACACACACACGCGCAAAACAAATAAACTGATACGGAGCCCGGCACAGTGACACACATCTGCTCAGGAGATTGAGACAGGAAGACTGCAAGTTCTAGGCTAGACTGGGCGAGAGAAATTTTCAAATTCAAAGCATCATAGAAATTTTTGTTTCTCACTGTCACAACAAGGCAGAAAACTGCAGTAATTAGCAAGCATATGTACAAAGGCACAAGGAGGGAGGGATATCTTGCCTAAAATCTCTATTTTCTGAGACACAATCTCACATTATACTTCAAGCTGGCGTTAAACTCACAGTGATCTTTCTGCCTTAGCCTCCCACATTCTGGGATTACAGGCATGCACCCCCCCCCCAGCTTTTCTCTAAATCACTTTAAATCCTGACAATTCTAGAACTGATTAATTTCACTGTTCCGAACTGGCACACTGTGTTTGTTTGTTTATGGACAGATTGTTACTACACAACCCAGACTGACCTCAAATTCACAAACTTCTTGCCTCTACCTCCCAAGTGCTGGGATTACAGGTGTGCAGCACCATGCTTGGCCATTTTTTAAATTTCATAAAGAATTTCCTTGGGCTGGGGAGATGGCTCGGTGGAATAAGCGCTTGCCTGGCAAGTGTAAAGGCCTGAGTTCAATCCCTGGTTCCCCCCACCAAAAAAAAAGAATTTCCTTTATCAGCATGATCAGGTATAGACAACAGAATCCTCACCAGCTAGTTTAAACAAGAAAGGATTTGCTAAAAGTGCACCAACATACTGAAAGGACTAGAAGTATAATCTGTGAGATTCCAGCAACAATTCAAGTCACACTACAGAACTAGAACAACAAAGGAGGCTGGCTGCCCCCCTCCTGTGCCAGCTCTGGCCTGCTTGTTTCTCTTATCTTCACTAGACCCTGAGTTACCCACTGCTGCGACAGCCGAAGCTACTGCCACCTCTAGTACACTCCTTGCTACTCCTCCAGTTCCAACCAAGTGGATGCCCTGAGAAACTGTAATGTAACAGAAAGAATGAGCTAAAGACTCAGGAAACTGGAACTATTCCCTGACCAGAGCTCTTCATTTCTTCAGTCAACAAAAATTTAATAGACAAAAGTTCCTGCCTGGCTCCAGGAATGCAAGGAATCCTATGCTAGACCCCAGGTGTCTCTCCCCACCTGGAGCCTGCATTCCAGCAGGAAACAGCAAACCACTCCAGCACTAATTACTCAATCACTAGGTTTAACTATTTCTTTCCCCTTTCCTTTTTTCCCCCAAGACATGGGGTCTCTCACCTAGACTGACCTGAAGCCCCTGCGTTCATGAAATCCTTCTGCCTCAGCCTCCCAGGTAGCTGGTATCACAAGCATGTGTCACCCAGCTGAATTATCAGTTTGTACATTAAATGTCAAACACAGATCATGTTGCAGCTCAATCTAATACAGCTGTGGATAGTTCTGCGAAAGGGACCTGATGTGGATTGGGAATCTCAAAAAGGTAACCTTTGGGAGGCAAGTCTGCAGCTAAGCTGTACGTTAACTAGGTAAAGAGGGGACACAGGATGTGAGGCACCTTCTCAGAACAGCAGCATGCCTGTAGCATCCTGGGAAAGAGCCAGACAGGAAGGAATTTCTTTGTTATCTGAAAAACAAAAACGCACCAAAGCAGAATCATCTCTTTGGAAGCAGAGGTGTGCTATGTTGTGTGTTTATATCTTACTGTATTTTGCGAGCAAGTGAGCGTGCGTGCGTGCATGCATGTGTGTTCTATCACGCTTCACCCTTGGGAGACATTTTCTTTTGGTGCCCTGGGAGCCATCACTTAGCTCGTTAAAAGGTAATGTACCATTCACTGAAGAAGCAGATTGGTACTTGGAAAAGATTAAAAAAAAAAAAAAATCACGCAGTACAACCTGAGCAGAATGGGGAATGGGCAAGAGAAGAGGCAGAGGGAGAGGGCTGATCACAGGGAGGGAAGAGGAAGACAGCTAGCGTCAAGTGAGAGACGCCACTCCTCCGGCGCAAGCTGCCGGGGCACAGATGACAAGATGGTATGTTGACGTTTAGGTTTCACCAAAATCCAGGAGGATACCAAGGAAGGGGGAAACCTAATCTATTTAACTATTCCCTGAATCTCAAGTATACATGAGGACCTTGAATATAGCCAGAAAAAATTTCCCTCTTGGAGAGAAGTGGACAATAAAGTGCTCAGTACTGCTGTCCGGTGAGGGCTGAGAGAGGGAAGAGTGGGAGAGGTGAGCAGTTCCTGGAGAAAGTTAACACCTACCTAAACTAATCAGCTGGAGAAAAAGGCTCAGGAGATGGGCTGGGAAAGTTTAATGAGATGAAGGCATCAGAGATCCTGACACAAAACAGGGAAGGATGGGGATGTAGCTCAAAAAACGGAGGCCTGGGGATGTACTTCAGGGACAAAGCCCCGAGTACAATCTTCAGCACCGCAAAACAAGAACAAAAATAGTCGCTCCAGTGCGTCTTCAGTGAACATTAGATACCTTTTAACGACTTAAGTGATGGCTTCCAGGACACCAAAAGAAAATGTCTCCCAAGGACGTAGCGTGACAGAACACGGTATTCGAGGAAGGAGCGAGATTTCCATTCCGACGATCACATTCGCTCCTGTGACAGTTACGATTATCCAAGAAACTTCTCTCTAAACTTAAACGACTTAATACATGGGGCGCTCTCGGTGTGGCAGACCGAGACCACTTCACAATGACTCACCACCATCAGTGGTCAGTTTGGAAACTGAGACTAGGATGCGACACGGGTGGGTGAGTCCCACAATCAGGTGCGCCACACCAGGATCAGCCAGCTGAGCGAGACAGGAAGCCGGAAGCCCGCGGGGGCGACAGGTGGGCGGGCCCGCGAGCCGGGCGGGCCGCTGATTGGCTACGGCTGGCGCGCCCTCTAACCTCACGCCGACTCCGGCGCACACTCCTCCTTCTCCTGCGCCCCCCTCCCCCAGCGCCGGCCGCTCGGCTCCCACCCCTGCCAGTGCAGCTCTCCTCGGGGCCTGAGCCCTTAGCCGCCCAGGAGGCACCCTCAGTTCCCGCCCCTCACCATTTCCGCACTTTCTCGATGGCCGCCATCACCTTCTTGATGTCATCTTTGGCCCGACTGCGGGTCTCGGCCCGGACGGAGCGGCCCGACATGGCGGCGGCGGCCGGGACACTGGTCCCAAGAGCGGAGAATCGCGCGCCTCACGCGCCGCCGCCGGAGCGTCACGGCGGCCGTCGCCCCCTCCGTGCGCGCGTGCGCGAGGGAGCGCGCGCACCCGCCCGCCCCTTGGGGCTCGAGGCCTCAGCGCGCCTGCGCGTCCCGCCCCGGGCGTTCCCTAGGTTTCTTGCCTGGCAGGGGTGCGCGGGGAACCAGACGCACGGGCTGTGCACAGGGCAAGGTGCGAAGCGCCGCTGGTGGGCGCGGTCCTCAGGCTTTCCCAAGAGATATCGAGATCACCACCAACTTGCTGTTGCTGCTTCAATGAATATTTTATGCAGTTGACCACGATGGAATTGAAGTTGTGCATCATCCTAACCCAGCACCTCAAATAAAAAGATTGCTCCAACTACAGGAATTTCACACCTGGCTTCCGCATGCTTTCTCACCTTCACACCTAGGTTTCCCACCAGGTATTCTCTTAACTCTTTACTTGAAGAGTGAACTACTTTTCCAATGTCCAGTTCAAACTTTCAGGGATACCCTTCTACTTAGCTCTCAATTTCCCTGTCATATAATTCAACAATTGTTGATTAAATGACTTGTATTTCGGGGAGGGCTCTGTGCCCAGTAATGGGGATGTGTTTTTGGTGTTTTTATGTTTAAAGAGTTTTTTGTTCACCAGGTGTGGTTGTACAGGCCTGTAACCCCAGTTATTCTGGAGGCTGAGGTAGGAAGATCTCAAATTCAAGCACAGCTTGGGCAACTTTGTAAGACCTTGTCTCAATTTTTAAAAGGGGCTTAGCGATGGACATGGTGGCATGTGCCTATAATTCCCAGTAGCAGGAGCCTGAGGCAGGAAGATCACATTTGACTGTAGTCTGGGCAATTTAGCAACTTAGGAAGGCCCTGTCTGAGATAAGATAGATGGATAGATGGTTGGGAGTATAGCTTAGTGCAGAGGCCCTGGGCTTAGTCTCAAGGGGGGTGGGGGGACTTGGGATTTAGCTCATTGGCAGAGCACCCAGAGGGTCTTGAGTTTCATCCCAGGTACCACAAAACCCAAACAAAAACAGTGCTTGTGGTTCAGTACTTCATACAGATCGAGAACATATTTAAAATGCTTGTGTGTGTGTGTGTGTGTGTGTGTGTGTGTGTGTTGACATGGATGATTATTTTATTACTGCACAGTGAAGGAGACCTTTCTTATCCCGGGAGGGTGAGTGGAGGCTTCATAGCAAAGGGCAAATAGGTTCCTAGTTAAAATCCAACCCAGCAGAGTTCATCTCTTCAACTGTGGTATACATTTTTTCCCATTTGGAACATATTGTAGTTTTAATAAACTCAGTCAAAAAAAACAACCAAAACCTTAGTCCAGGAAGTCAAGATATCTCCTTAAAACTTGGCCTCTGTTCTATTTACTTTGCTTCTAAGACTATGGCCTAATCCTGTGTCCAACCAGTTATCTTTACTCCACTTGATCTGAACCCTTTCCCACTCATCCTATGTCCACTTTCAGCTCCCATGTGATGTCAACTGTACCACATGCCTGCTTCTACAGGTTTAAATATTACCATCTTATGCTTCCCGAAATTGTCTAATAATGCTCTTTGGGGAAAAAAAAAAAATCATGCTGGAACTGCTACTTCTTCCAAACTTCAAGCCTTCTCCCAACCTTAGAACCCATGTGACTGGAACTACATGAATCTTGCTGAGATGCGGGCACAGGCCTTTAATGTAGTTCCCTTTTAACTGGTTTTAAAAGATAATGCAAGATACCACAAAAGAAACAAACGGCATGGTGGCACACACCTGTGATCCCAGCATTTGGGAGGCTGAAGCAGGAGGATTGCTGTGAATCTGAGGCCAGCCTGGGCCATGTAGTAAAACTCTTGTCTCAAGGGAAAGGGAAAGGGAAAGGGAAGGGGAAGGGGAAGGGGAAGGGGAAGGGGAAGGGGAAGGGAGGGAAAGGAAAGGAAGGGAAGCGGGGAGAGGAAGAGAGAGGAGAAGAAGGGAAGGGTAGGAAGTGGGGAGGAGAGGGAAAGGGAAGGGAAAGGGGGGGAAGGGGAAGGCGAGGGAAGGAAGGAAGAAAAAGAACAAAGGAAAGAAAGGCTACTGGCCAGGCATGGTGGTGCACACCTGTACTCCCAGGACTTGGGAGGCTGAGGCAGAATTGTTGCAAGTTCGAGACCAGTCTGGGCTACAAAGTGAGCTCAAGGCCAGCCTGAAATGCATAGTGAGACCCTGTCTCAAACAGATGAAAAAAAGAAAGGGAGAGAAGTAATACAACAGAAATAGCCTCTCATAGTAACTGCTTATTTCTTTCTCAAGACAGGCAGATCTTTGGAGCCAGAGAGCCCCTGACATCACGGAGGCCATATCCATTTGCATTCATCAGTCCAGCAGCAGCAGCAGTATCATACCATCCCTACTCAACATGACCTTGCTGGATAGTCACACTGGCAAAACACAGATGAGAATAGACAGATGCCTGACTTTAATTTACATGGCCAAAGACATGGAAGAACAGGGGATATGGAGGGCAGCAGGCAGGAAGTGAACGAAGCGCAGCAGTGGCAAAGCAGCACAGAGAAAGCTGCGGTGCTATGACCAACTGGAACCAAGAGTGTACAAGGGTCAGTCCAGATCTGACTTGCTGAGAGCTCTCCTGTTGCGTACAATACTAATTCTGAACTGCCAGATCCCTTTTCTCAATTATAATAATCTTGATGAGAATGGTGAGCTAAGTCTCAGGTTTTTGGGTTTTTTTTTTCCCCCTACAGGGTCGATTCTCTTGCTTCAGCCTCCTGAGGGCTGGGATTACAGGTGTGTACCATCACACCCGACTACTCTTAAGATATTTTGAAACATCCTCTAGCAGGTTTCCCTTCTTCTATATGGTGCTGACCAGCATTTCTGTACAGTTCCAAAGTTTAGCAGTCCTCCCTTTCTAACCGTAAGCTCTGGGAATGTCCTAACATTCATGAGGGACTGATCAGCCTTTGCCAACTGCCCATTCCCAAAAAGCTAACTTCCCATAAAATGCTCCCTCTCTAAAAACTACTTTCATGTCTTACAAAGTTAGATAAGTCCTATAAGGAAAAATAGATAACACCAGTTTACTCTTATTTCTTGTATCTGGAAGAAAAGAGTGAACTAGAGGAAAAGCTAAGGGCATGGACAGCTCTGACCAAGATTTACAGCACAGAGCTTTTTACCTGGGGACCCCACTTTATGAACGAAAGCTGCTACCGCAGCTCAGCAAAATCAAGGGTTGACATGCTATGCACATGTGGCTCAGTGTAAGGGGAGCTGCTGGTATTGCTTTGGTAGCAAGAAGAGAAGAGGCACCATGGCAGAAATGTCAGGGCCTAACTTGCGCAGGTCCCCCACAAATTCTCTTTCCACAACCCAGTGGGTGTTATCAGACGAGGCAGTGGCAACTCACCTGAGTGAAGAGTACTTTGACTTAAATGACTTGGTTGGCACCTGGTTAGGTACAGGTTTGCTCTCATGAGGAAGACCCTCAGTTGGTGTCATCGTGGACACTTCTTGAGTGTCTGCTGTGTCACCCTATTCAGCTGATGAAAAACAGTCCTTTTATATAAAGAAGGCTGCCTGGGACAAACCCATACATACAATAATTCCTAGAAATAGGCTGCTCATGAAACATCCGGAAATAAGGCCTTCACCCAAGACTGAGGAGATTCCTCAAGACTGAACCCCAACCCCACAGGCCCCCACGGTAGGAAACAAGCCACAGAAAGAAGCATTCAGAGCAAATGGGGGACAGAAAAAGGAAAGGAATAATCTCAAATGCAGTATAAGTTGGTATCTGGTTGTGACATAAACGAGATCGAAGAGGGTATGGCCAGGTCAGGAGCCTGGACTCCCGAGCTCACTGACTGGATGACCGTTCTCAAGGCATGAAGCAGGGGAGTGCAGGGCTTGCAGCAAACAAGCCGGTTTCAGTCACTCTGTTCCCCCAAAACCACCTTTAGCACTTGAACGCTAAGAACGACTCCATTCTCAGAACTTCCCCTCTCCCAAGGAGGTAGGTAAGATTATTTATCCCCATTTGGCAGCTGGGGAGGCAGGGCATGGCACAGCAGGGATCAAACCTCAGTCCCTGTACCTGCCCAAGCAGGCGCTTTAGTCCACTGAGCTATCTGGCAGGCCCTTATTTTTTTTAGTTTCTGATGATCAATTATAAATAGGCCACATGAGGCTGGGGAGATAGCTCGGCAGTCTTTTTTTTTTTTTTTTTTTTGGTCCTAATGCCTTCAGGGCAGGTTTGGCTGGCTTGAGTAGTAGGGATCCAACCCCAGCAACCTGAGCCTGACTGCTTTGCTGAAGCAGCCACTTAAAAAACTGAGCTAAGGGGCAGGTCCCCTCGGTAGCCATAAGTGCTTGCCTGGCAAGTACAAGGACCCAGGTTCGATCCTTGGTACCATATGCCAATGTTGGCCCAGGAACCCTGGGTGCGCTGTGCTGGCCATCAAAACCAGGTGTGGTGGTACCCCTGTAATCCCAGTGCTGGGGAGGCTGAGAGGAGAATCACTACAAGTCTGAAATGTGTAGGGAGAGCCTGTACCAAATAAAAGATTTAAAAAAAAATTTTTTTTTAAAGTAGCCTACATGGCATTTAAAATTTTCCCCCATGCTTTTTTGGGTAGTGGTGGGGACAGAGACTTGGGTGTACTAGGCAAGGGCTCTACATTGAACCACACCCAAACTTTCCCATTTTTCTACTTTCAAAAAATATTTGAGACAGAGTCTCACTAGATAGTTCGGGCTGGCCTAGAACTATGTACCCCAGACTGGGTTTGAATTAGTGATCCTCCTGCCTTAACCTCTTAAGTCCCAGATTACAGGAATGCACCACCGTGCCCAGTAACTCTGAAATATTTTATTTTTCCATAATTTTATTGAGACTGAAACATTTTAAAATAGAAAACTTAGGGGCCAGGGAGATGGCTCAGTAGAATAAGCGCTTCCCTGGCAAACGCAAGATCTGAGTTTAATCCCCAATTCTGCAAAAAAAAAAAAAAAAGGGGGGGGGAGGGGAACCCACCAAAAAACTTAAAATAGTAACACTGAACTATTTACATATCCTTTATTCACAGAGACTTTTTGACCTAAGAAACCTGGCAATCCCTACTCTGCACTCGTATCCAGGTACTCCTCTATGGTTACCAGAGCAGCCGCCCCGGGAAGAACTTCCAGTCCCTTAAGAGACTACAGTGAGCCTTCTGTAGGGTTTTTACTCAGAAACTCACAACACAGCAAGGTAAGCAGGGCAGAGTTTATTCCCATTTTACAGGAAACTAACTCAGAGGCCAAGTCAGATCCTTGCTCTTCGTCTCAAGTCAGTAAGTGACCCAGCTACAACTGGACCCAGGGGTGTCTAAATTTAGTAACACTCAGTCCTTCCTTTCCACAGATCTAGCATAGAGTAAGGCCAGCGATGTTTCCCCAAGCTGCCTAGGAAGGAAAGTGTTGTTCCGACAACCGAGCATCCGTCAGGCCCGGTGCAGTTCCATCACCCTTAGGAATAGAAGTCCACAGTGCAGCCTGGGCATGCCCCAGACAGACAGGATACCAAAAAATGGTACCCACTACTCCCGGGCTGCGTTCAGTACTGCGGGCTTATTCTGCCCAGGACCCAGCTCAAAGCAGATGGCCTCTGCCCTTGTGCAGTTAATATTCTTATGGGTTCTGACTCCAAGCTGCCAGGAGAATGGCAGGTCCTATGCTGCCCAATTAGTGTCTTGCGTGGTCCTTATAGTGTTTCAGGTTTTTGTTAAGTTGCCAACATCAAGCTTCTCTGAAATGGGCAGCTTGTGCTGGATCCTAATAGGAAGTGGCCTGCCCCGCTCCTCACCTGGGAGGCAAGCTTCCGGCTTACTGCGGTCTCCAGTGATGTTGGTACCCACTTGAGATTTGCAGGCAAACACCCCAACAAGATGCTCTCACACAGCATTGAGTAACACAAAATAAAATTAGCTGTGAGCTTGTGATGGAGGAAGGGGCTACTTCAGATACGGTGGGCAGGGAAGGCAACTTCAGTACAAAGAAACGTAGCACTGATCTGTGGCCAGCCTGCTGCCAACGGAAAAGAAAAATGCTTCCGGGGAAGCAGCAGCAAGGCACACAGCCTGCTTGAGGTGGCAAAGAGCTTGCCCATTCTTCACCAGCAAGACAGGGATGGCTGGAGAGCAGAAAGATCAGAGGGACAGAGCGAGGCTACATAGCACCGTGAGAGTCAGTGAGGATTCTGGCTTTGTTCCAAGAGCAAAGAGAAACTTTTGAAAATAGCATGATCTATTTTACACTGTCAAAAGATCAGTTTACGTTGAAAAGCAAATTAACCAGGCACCAAAGGAAACAGAACCCACTGGGTGACAGTGGGTAGGACTGCGAGAGGTGGCAGGCTCTGCATGTCACCAGAAGCACAGGTAAAGGGGGTTTCTGAGGCGAGAGTGAGGTAGTGGTGGCAAGTGGTGCGAAGAAAAGGGAGCAATTGAGCATAGCTAGGCTGTGGCTTGCTCTGACACTCAACAGTCCTGGGGACAACTGGAGAGGCCCTGGTTTTGGCCACGAGACCAAGACTTGGGATTTTTTATGAATATGTTTTGCTACATACCAAGTCCTCCTAGAGGCATTTCCTGGCCTCTCCCTAGCCAAGCAGTCTCCAAATCCCAAAATTTAAACTCGTTTTGGAGATACAGTCTTGTTATACAGTTCCAGTTGGCCTCAAACTCTTAAGTGATCCTGCTTCAGCTTCACCAGTGTTGGGACCACAGCCTTGCACCACCAGGCCCGACTCAAAATGCAGATTTCTGAAGATCTAATCCTGTATCAAATCTATCCTTTCCACTTCCTACCCAGTGCCTCCATCCTGACTGCAAGCCTCTCTTGCCCTTTACCACAGTCTCCTACAGCAAAACCAAAGATGTCTTTCTTTCCTACCTCAGCCACCTGTGAGGCAGAGGCTACGCCTTCACATTTGTCATCCCTGTCTAGTGCTGTCAGGTTAGGCAAGGAAGTGATGAGCTGAAGAGGGCTCTCGAGCAGGCTGCAACCTTTGGAAAGCAGAAAACCCACCTCTGGATGACACTATTCCTCCACAAAATGGGAAGCCGAGCCAGGTACAAAACAGTCAGGTCTTGTGACTGTGCCTTACTAAGGAATGTGTTTCTAGTTTGGCTTTGTCCATGCTGTTTGACCCCCACTTGTAGCTGACTGTTAATGACAGTGGCCATCTTTTCCTGATCCTCTGCAGTATGGGAACTTTCTACATGCTTCACCTCAGAGCCTCTGTGGAACAAGCCATGATGCTGGTTTCTTCTTTTTGAGACAGGGACTCACTATGCAGTTTAGGCTGCCCTTGAGCTCACTTTGTAGCCCAGGCTGGCCTCAAACTCCAACGATCCTCCTGCCTCAGCCTCAAGTGCTAGGATTACAGCATGCACCACCACACCTGTCCCTGTTCTTTATTTTGCAAAGAAAATAAAGTCCTGAATGAAATCATTCCCATTTCCTTTTAGCCAGTTAGAAGCCTGGTCCTGGTGAAGACTTGGCTTTCCCTAACCTTACTGCCCCACTCTGTAATTGCAAGCTTCCCAATGTCTTGCCTACAAAGCTGCTGCCTTGCTCATGGGTGTCCCTATGTTGCACCTCTAATTTCTGAACTTCTCAGGGTGTTAGGGTGCACTGTCATAAGGTCAAGTTCTCTCACTCCTCTACCACTCTCCTCAGGGCTGGGGGAGGACAGACATCACCCCTGCTCTTTGGTCCAGGAGGAACTGGAATCAGTAAGGAGAGAGAGCTGTCCAAGTAGGCAAGAATATGTTCAGTGGGACGGAGACCAGAGAGGCCACCAGTAAGAAAATCAAGTCAGGGGACTCCTTTCAGAAGGTTTCCACTGGAAGCACCTGGGAATGAAGTGGCGGTGGTGGGCATAGGCGACAGGACCCTGCCCAAGCCTGAGCCAGTCACTTCTTCAGGGCACCCAGGCTCTTGAGGGCTTCCTGGGCCTGCACCAGCTGCTGTTGCAGCCTCTGGCGGGTGCTGTCGCTCGAGGCGCGCTTCAGCAGGGTCTGCATCTCTTCCACCACTGCCCGGTGGCCCGGGGTGTTGTGGAAGAGCCGCACTGCCCGGTCCCCACAGGAGGCCAGTAAGCGGCCGGTGACATCAAAGGCCAAGTCGGCGATACACTCCCCATGCACCTGTTCAAAACTCTCTTCTTTCTCACCACGCCGCGTGTTGTAGAGATGAATGCTGGTGCCGCTGGCCAAGGCCAAGACGTGGGTGTCAGGGGAGAGTGCCAGGCGGCATGGCATGGTGCTCGCCTCTTCAAAGCGGCCTGTCCTCAGCAAATAGGGGTCCTGCTGCTTCTTGTATTCTACATCAGTGTCCCACAGTTTCCATGTGCCGTCCTTGGACACAGAGGCCATCCTGCAACACGGGATATCACAGCTTGAGCCCCAACTGCACTGTGGCAGGGAAGCCCCTGGGACGGCCTGTGGGACTGCAGCCAGCGATCCCACGGCTTCCTGTAAGGGCTAGGTGCCCCACCCCCTGCACACCCCAGCACCCACAGGCAGAAGAGCCCTGGAGGAGCTCACGGTGCTCCAGGCACTCACCGCCGAGAGTCGTTGGAGAAGGCAAAGCAGTGGACAGCCGCCGAGTGGCCCTTCAGGTCAAAGGCTCGCACGACATCCTGGAATTCTCCCTTCTTGCCAAAGCAGACTTCCCAGACCTTCACATCTGGGGTGAAGCCACATGAGGCTACAAACCTGCCACAAGACCCAGCATCCTTGAAAACTGGACTTGAAGGGAATCTTGTTCCTTCAAACTCCTTAAACATCTTTCCTGAGAAAAAGGCACTTTTTGCAATGCTAAGGACCAAACCTAGAGCCTCGCACACTATGCAAGTGTTCTACCACTGCCCTACCCTACCGCCCAAGCTAGGCACCTGCTACCAAGCGCTTCTGAAGCCAGTCAAAGGGCCAGGGAGACAGTGTCTGGCAAGCACAAAGTCCTCAGTTTGATTCTTGGTACCAAAATCAATCAATCAATCAATCCAGGTGAAGTGCTGCACACATCTCAAATCCCAGCACTTTGGGAGGGTGAAGCTGAAAGGCCACAAGTTCAAGACGAGGCTGGGCAACTTATTTTTTCTTCTTTCTTCTTTAAATTTTTATTTATTTATTTATTTGAAGGATATTTGGTGTGTGTGTGTGTGTGGCCAGCTCTGCCTACCCTGGGGGCGGGGTTGGCACAGCATGTGGTGCTAGGGATCAAACCAAGGTTCCTGCGCATTTGCCTAAGCTTGCCTAAGTAGGCTCTTTAGATAGCTGAGTTATCTTGTCGGTCCATGTATTTATTTGATATAGTATCTCATTATGCAGTTCAGACTCGCAGTGAGCCTCCTATCTCAGCCCCCTCAGTGCTGGGATTACAGGTGTGTGCCACCACACCCTGTACTGGGACTGGCATAGTGTGCCCAGGGTTCTGGGGCTGGTCCAGCACGTGATACCAGGGATCGAACTTGGGTCCTTGCACTTGGGCAACTTACTGACTCAGGGAAGAGTCTGATTTGAAATAAAAATAAGGAGCTAGGGATGTAGCTCAGTGCAAAGACCCTGAGTTCAATCCTCAGTACTGAAAAAACAAACCAGAATATACCAAGTACTTCTGTATATGTGACCTCCTAGCTTGTTCTAAGATATACAGCACCCAACCTTATCCTCTGACAACTGCAGAGGAACAGACAGAGACGGAAGAGTGGCAGATGCAGGACATTCCACCACTGCAAGGGGAGAGCCGAGGCCTGACCTAAGCATTCCAAGGCCCCTCTCCACAGACGGCCTCTCTGCTCTGTACCCACTGCAGGCCCAACTGTGCCCTGTGCCCAGTGCCCTACCCACTCCCTCACCTGCTGCAAGGGGATATGGTAGCGTAGGTATTGTTCATCTGATTGGTGTTAATGGTGGACAACACCTGGCCCTTCAGATTCCAGATGAGGACAGTTGTGTCACTGGAGACTGTCATGATGAACTTTCCTAAGGGAAGGGGAAGGATGTGAGCTGCAGGCAGCAAACTGACCAAGTGACATTCCCCAAAGAGACATTGATAAAGCCTCTGCTGTCCAAAGTCCCCATGATCCCCTCCCAGGCCAAAGGTTACCACAGATAAGGACTGGGCTGAAGACTGCAATTTCTCCCAGAACATGTGGTAGCCCTTGGGACTTCAGGAAAGGACAGAGCTGGGCTGCTCAGAGCCACCATCCCTTGGTCACACTGAAGCCCAACAAAACCCACAGACTGCAAAGACTCACTTGGCAAACACACCTCATCCGGTTTTCTCATGCTGTGGGCATTTCCACCCTCTGAACATCTCTCACCTGTGTCAGCAATGGCAATGTTGATGACAGGTGCCTTGTGCTTTTTAGGAAAGTCCTCTGGGGTGGCTGTGAAGGTAAAGCCTCCATCTTCTCGCTTAGTCATCTTAAAGACGCGGAGAGTGTCCCCATTGGCCAGCCAGACGATGAAGGCCCTAGAGACAGAGCAGATAAGACATCCTTTCTCTTAGACTTAGAGGCTGAGGGTTTCAGGCCCCGTGCTCGGTTTCTTTTTTTTCTTTTTTGTATTTTAGGGCAGGGTCTACAGGGTGTTCAGGGTCTTACTACTAGGTCAGACTCGTAGTAATTCTCCTGTTTACAGCCTCCCAAGTGCTGGGATTACAGGTGCACGCTACCACGCCCAGTGTCAATCACTCTCAGAGGGCCACGGGGTATCGAACCCCTAGCCCCTGTTCCTGCTTGCAGGTGCTTTAATCTGCTGAGCCCTTGTGCTCCGTTTCTAGGAAAAATCAAAATCTCCCTTCACACCCTATAGAATAGCCTTACAATGTAACATCCCGGCTCAAAATATCTTTTTATTATTATTTTTTTTTCTTTTGGCGAAACCAGGGATTGAACTCAGGCCCTTGCACTTGCCAGGGAGGTGCTTGTTCTACTGAGCCATCTCCCCGGCGCCCTCCAGCTCAAAATATCTTAATACTATTAAAAGGCACATTCTCTGTTATCTCACCACTCTGGGAGGCTGAGGCAGAAAGATCAAAAATTTGAGACCAGTCCTACCAACTTATTCAGTGATACCTTTGTCTCAAAATAAAAAACAAGCCAGGCATGGTGGCCCATACCTGTAAACCCAGCATTCAAGAGGCTGAGGCAGGATTGCTGTGAGTTTAAGACCAGCCTAGGCTACAAAGTGAGCTCAAGGCCATCCTGAACTGCACAGTGAGACCTCATCTGAAAAACAAAGAACAAAAGAAAAAAGAAAGAAAGAAAAGAAGGAAGGAAGGAAGGGAGGGAGGGAGAAGGTAGGCATAGCTTAGTGCAAAAGCACTGAGTTCAATCTCCAAGAAAGAAAGCAAAACACAAAAAAAAAACCCCAAAGGATTCTCAGTGCTTGGCTCCTTTAGCTTTTCCCTAAGGTTCTAAAAACTCTCAGGGCTCCCAAGACTCATCTGGAAGCCTGGCCTTGGAAGCTGCTGGGTACAAGAGAGCTTCAGCCCTGTTTGTGTGCTGTGCAGTGCGACAGCCCTCCAGGAAGCTGCAGGCGGTGTCCGTACTACCTGGATGTTCTCTTTCTCTCCTTCACTGAGACCCTGGGCCTTTCCTCACTCCCCCAACCAGATCCCAGATGGCCAGAAGCTGGGGCTGGGCTCCTGCAGGCAAACCTGAGGCTCCTTCCTGTCCCACCTGCAGTCAGGGCTGAAGCGCACCAAGGTGGCGTGGTCCAGCTCCACGTTGGCTCGCATGCTGCGGTGTTCCCGCTGCAGGAAGTCCTTGGTGCTCCAGATGCGGACGGTGCGATCGTCCGCACAGGTGGCCAGATACTTGCCGTTGCTGCTGAAGTCCATGCATGATATGTTCCCGCTGTGGCTCTGGGTAAAGGGTGTGGGAAACATGAGCAGACAGCGCAGCCAGACCCGGGAGCCCCAACGTTAGGGATGCCGGGCCCTGCTGCATGGGTGCTCAGCCAGCTGAGGGTGGCCTGGGCAGATGCGGCACTGACTGTGGCCGGAGGCAGGCGGGTCTGAAATGGCACAGATGATGACAAAAGCAAAGGACAGCAGGCGTGTGTGCCATGTGTGTGGACCCACGGGGACGCTCATACCTTCAGCGCGGCAGCCAGAAGGCGGTGGGTGAAGTTGTGTTGCTGAGGCTTCTCCTTTCGAATCCGCTGCTGCTGTTTCTGCTTCTTGGATCCTGGCTTCTTGGGTCCATTTATTTTTTGGGCTATAAGGAAGAGCGACACCATTCATCTACTTGCTCACTTATGAACACTACCTGTGACTCAGCTGCTCCCAACCAGGGGGACAGCAAGACATGGCTCATGCTAGAGGCGAGAAAGCCTGTGATGTGGGCAAAAATGGAAGCTTCAGAACTGGCCCAAGGCCTGGATATGATAGTACCCAGCTGGAGGAGGCTGCTCCCCGCTGGACCGCAGTGCACCTCAATGCATTGCAGGACAGGCGCCCTGGGGGCTGACGCAGCATAGACAGGGGAACAAAGCGCACTACTAAACAGGTAGCCTTGGAGGAGTAGTTGTTCCAGGTCTTAGTTTCCTTGAAGAGTGACCCAGATAACTCGACAAGATAATACATACAGAAAGGGCCCAACACAAGCATTAGAAGCTGAAGGCCTCTAGGAACTCTGCATGTAGTTTGAGCATTGACCCTGTGCCAGCAATGGTGCCCATCACTTTTGCACAAAATACCTGAGACTCAGGCGGGGGGAGTGGCACAGATGCTTCCCAAATCCTACAGGAAAGAATGCCTGTCCCTGTGCACAAAGATGGCCATGGTCTGGCCCTGCTCCCTCCTGGCCTTTGAGTCACACCAACAGCAGTTTTAGGGTTTCCTGCCTTCAGGAGTTTTGCCTCTTTCTCCCTTAGCTTCCTGGCAAACTCTTCCAACATCCCTGTCCTTCAAAACCCCATAACACATGCTGGCCATGTAGCTCAGAGATAGGGAGCCTGTCTAAGACATGATCCATCCCCAGCACCCAACACCTAAAAAACAACAACACAAAAAAAACCGTTTCCTTCTCTGAAGATTTGTATGACTACTCCTCCCCAAAAGCAGGGATCTTGTTTCCCGTTTCTAGTGCAGACCTTTCTGTGAAATGAGTTACACTATTTTGCTATACCAAAGACTGAACCCAGGTACTTTGTAACAGCTACATCCTCACTGCCTCTTTTTGAGATAGGGTCACTAAGTTTCCCCAGCTGGGCTCCCAACCTGAGACCTTCCTGCCTCAGCCTCCTAGAATGCTGAAATACAGGCATGCGCCTTCCAGGTGCATCGATTTTTCATTGCATTTTTACAGGATTCTGTAAAATTCTTTCACAGATTTAGAATCTCAAGGCACAATTTAGTCCACTTCTCCACTGGACTCATTCAAAGACCCCCCCAACCCTGTCCTGGGGTAGCAAGTACTCCGAGAAGCCCTGTAGAGCGCAGGAGGCTGCAGCAGTCCCGGGCACCGAGACCCCTGGTTCTGCTCAGCCAGACACAGGGTGCGGGGCAGCACCACACCTCTGGCGGGAAATCGTTCAAACAGAAGAAACAGGCCCAGGAGCCAGCGTCCCCGCGTCACCCCTGCCCCGCAGCGGCCCCACGTACCTACAGGCTGGCTGCCGTTCTCTCCCTCGGCGCGCAGCCAACCTCGCGCCACAGCCGCTGTCACTATCAGGGCCAGCAAGCCAACGAACAGGGACAGTACCATAATCTCTGACATTGCCTGGAGCTCCATCGTGGTCAAACAGCTGCCACCTCAGCCCACGACGACGTAGCGGCGTTCGTACGTCTCCACGCACAGGGGGCGGGGCCGACCGTTAGCGCGCTGCGACGAAGTGGGCCCAGGCCGTTGGGGCGTCCTGAGGGGCGGGGTTGGGAGGGAAGAGCGCCACCACAGGGGGCGGGGCCTAGCCTCGGTGTAAATTGAGTGTTATTGGCTCCTCCTTGTGGGCGGGGCGTGGACCGCTGTCCTTCAAGACGTGGCCCGGTCGTTGGTTGGTGTATGCTGAGGGGCGGGGCCTGGCCATTGCTGGGTCCTCTGGCGTTTAGGGTCGCCTCTCCTTGAATAACTCACTGATAATAGTTTGTCAAAGGTTTTCAGAGCTGGGTATGGTGGCCCACACCTGTAATCTCAGTATTTGGGAGGTTGAGGCAGGAGAATTGCCACGATTTCGGGACCAATCTGAGCTATATAGTGAGTTCAAGGCCATTTTGAAGTACAAGGCAAATAAATTAACAACCAAAGGTTTTCTCCCAGTATCACCACCCTGGATCTTTTCCAGGAAGTAGAGCAGGGGCTGTGATTACCTTATGACAGCTGGGAGTCTTGCCATCCGCAGGGGACAGGCAGATGAGCAGAAAGGGAAGGGCAACATCGTGCAGAGGCGGGGCGGGGCCGAGCTCGCGGGGTTGGGCCTGGATTCCGGCCTCACGGGGCTCCTCGCAGGGATCCTTGGATGGGCCCTTGTGTGGAAAGACCAAGGACAAAGAGAGGACCGGGACTCGGGTGGCCTGGGGTGTGGAAGGGACATTGAAAAGTTCATATTGTTACTGTTCTGGGGATGGAACTCAGAATCTCCTGCATGCTAGGCAAACATTACACGGAACTATGCCCCAGTCTCTGAAAAGTTGGATTTTTTAAAAAAGTTATTTATTATTAATCTTATATGTATTTTTATTTTTATTTATTTACTTATTATATATAGTCTTACTATGCAGTTCAGACGCGGAGTTATCCTCCTGTCTCAGCCTCCCAAACGCGGGGATTACAGGCGTACACCACCACACCTGGTTTCAGCTGGCACTGCACTCCCAGGGTTTAGGGGCCTAGCACGTTATGCGGCAGCAGGGATCGAACTTGGGTGCTTGAGCTTGCCAGGCAGATGCTTAAACCACTGAGCTATCTCTCCAGTCCTTATTTTATTTTTGTCTTTTTTTTTTTTTTTTCAGAGATGGGGATTAAACTCAGGTCCTTGAGCTTGCCAGCAAGTGCTTATTCAACTGAGCTATCTCCCCAGCCCCGTTATTTTTGTCTTCTTGAGACAGGCTTTCCATATGCAGTTCAAGTTAGCCTTGAGCTCATTTTGTAGCCCAAGCTGGCCTCGAACTCACAACAATACTCCTGCCTCAGCCTCCTAGGTGCTGTGATTGCAGGCTTTTCTGTTGGTACTGAGGACTGAGCACAAAACTTACTCTGAGCTACATCCCCATCCCCCTTTATCCCCAGCCCCTTTTAATTATTTATTCATTTATTTATTAGATATAGGGTCTCACTAAGTTGATAAATTGCCCAGATTGGACTCAAACTCTAGATCCTCCTGCCTCAACTTCCCAGACTGCTGGGGTTATAGGCATGCACCACCATGTCCAATTATTTATTTATTTATTGGTATGGTCGATTGAACTCAGTACCTTGTCCTGCCAGGCAGATGCTTATGCCACTGAACTATCTCCCTGGCCCGAAAAGATTTTTAACAACAAAATTATTTTAAAATTAGTTATAGACTCACAGGAAGTTCAAAACTGAAGAGAGGGTCCATGGGTCCTTGTACTCGGTTTTCCTCCATAATAATGTCTTGCAAGCATGTAGAATATCACAACCAGGACCCTTACATTGATAAAATCTCTGCAGAGGGAACCAAATGTCATTTGAAAAGACCTATTCTGAGAGACTGACAGATTCAGGATTTTTTTTTTTTTAATTATTATTGTCTTTTTGAGACAGTTTCACTAAGTAGTTCAAACTAGTCTTGAACTCATTCACTTTATAGTCCAGGCTAGCCTCGAACTGGAATCTCAGCCCTCTAAGAGGCTGAGGAAGGAGGATTTCAAGTTGAAGCTCAGCCAGGGCAATTTAGTAGCCCACGTCAATTTAGCAATTCCCCCTGACAAAATGAAAACTAAAAAAAAAGGGCTGTAGATTTAGCTTAGGCCTAAGGCTCTGGGTTCAATTCCAGTACAAAAAAAAAAAAAAAAAAAAAAAAGGCTCTGAGGAAACTGGCAGTTCAGAGGTTGACTGACAGACAGACGGACACACCCACCATCTGGGGTGAGGAAGCAGATACAGTCTGAACAAATGGCGTGGCCTCACTTCCTTCCCTTTTGTCTTTTTCTGGGAAACTGGCATTGACTCAGCTGTGGGTATAGGGTGGAGAGGGCGAGGAGTGGGTGTCCAGAGCCTCCCAGGCCTTCTCCTCCCTAATTTGCTATTTAGAACCACAGACAGACCCAGCCATGAACCCTCTTCCTCCAACACTCAGAGACAAAGCTGTCCTATGTGGTTCAGGCTGGTCTTGAGTCCAGGCTGGTCTCAAACTTGAAACTATCCTCCTGCCTCAGCCTCCGAAGTGCTGGGAGGTACTTTTCTTTTTTGAGACAGGTTCTAGCTACATAGTCCAGGCCGACCTTGAACTCACTGTGATCCTCCTGCCTTAACCTCTCCCGTGCTGGAATTACAGATGTGTGTGTGTGTGTGTGTGTGTGTGTGTGTGTGTGTGTGTGCTGAAATTACAGGTGTGCCACCACACCAGGCTAAAGCAGTACTTTTAAGAAAAGTTCCTTTTCCAAGCATTTCACACGTGACTTTTATTGATCCAGGAGCTTTGTGTTTCACTGGAACTTCTCACAATTCATAAAGGCAGAAGCTCACGGTGACTTTCCCAGAGTCAGATGGGTGGAGATCAGACCTGGAGGTGCATGCAGGCCTGCCACCAACCTATGAATGTGGGGCAAAAACAGTCGCCCTCCTTGCACAGCTCAGGCCAGCTACAAAACTCTTCCACACTGTGAATTCAGTTGATTTGATAATGACTGCTAACATGATGACATTAGGCATGGTGGCTCCTGCCTGTGATCCCAAGCAGGCTGAGGCAGGAGAGGGGCCTTGAGTTTGAAGCCAGTCTGGGTTCCATAGTAAGTTCAAGGCCAGCCAGGTCTGCATATTAAAGAGAAAAAACAAAAAATAGCCAGGAGGGCTGGGGGGGTGGGGATGTTGCTCTGTAGTAGAATGCTTGTTTGAACGCATGCAAGACTCTAGGTTCAGTTCCCAGCTGACACCAAGCGTGGTTCAGGCCAGCTGGGTGGGTCAGGGAAGGAGGACTTGGCTGTAGCTTCCAGGGTGGGCAGAGCGGGTGGAGGGATTCCACATGGGGAAAGTGAGCCACAAGCAAGGGTATAGGGTACAAGCAGTTTAGGGACGCACATGCTTAGACTTCACCCCAGAGCTGCTACTCAGAAACTTTCCAGGCGCAGCCCTGGGATTCTCTCACTCGCCCCTGCCTTGTTCCCCTGCCCATCTGAGCACATTCTGCTTCCCAATATTTATCCTCACTGTGCTCTTTATTTACTCTTTGGGTTTCTCACACAAGAGAAGGTGCTGTTGAAACTTGTGTGCGATTTCATGTAAGATTATGCAAGTGCATCTGTTTTCCTACAAAACACTCATTTAATCCTTCTTTCTGGCAGAATAATACTCCATTGTATATCAATACCATACTTTATTCCTTTGTCAACCATGTCTGGGCTGTTTCTAAGATTTAGTTATTGCAAATGGTGTTGCTGTAATGCCGGGAGTGGTGGCACATCCCTGTAATCCCAACCCTCGGGAGGCTGAGGCAG